GAGCTTAGTCTTCCTTTCCCCTGTGGTCTGCTCTGCGGGCTGAAGTTGCCTGCAAACTTTCGTTTGAAGAGTGGCTTCCAAGTTTCAAAACCGCACAAGGCACTGTCTCTCCGATCCTTACCTCCCTCCCGTGCCCGATCACTGCTCTTCTGTCAGCACCGCGGGTCCGCGCTTCCCCGTCTGCCCTTCGGGTCCCTGTGTGCAGAGTGAGAGTTTGGACAGGAGAAGCTCTGGGACTGGGTCTCCATGAGCGCGGCAGTGGACTGAGTGTTGACCACTTGGGTTACCGAGCCCCGCCTGGTCGGCAGACTGGAGGGGCCGTGACCCTGAAGGACGCTCGGTCCCTCTGTCCTGCTGCCCGGGCGCCGGGCACGCGTGGCTCGGTCCGGGACTCGCGTCGCTCCCCTTGTCAGCAGCGAGTCACGTTGCTTCTCCCATTTCCTCTTTCCTCCAGGGGCCCATGAAGCGGCAGCTAAGCCCGTTCCCGTCGCCACCCGTCAGCCACGGGCCCGAGATCAGGAAAGGAAGAAGGGCAGCCTCACTTCCTCTCTGAGGATGGAGCCACGCAGCCGCTCTGGGAAGAGCAGAAAGTCCGCAAAGTTCCGGTCCATCTCTCGGTCCCTGATCCTCTGTCACGCCAAGACCAGTGACGACGGCTCCAGCCCCGACGAGAAGTACCCGGATCCCTTCGAGATCTGCCTGGCCCAGGGCAAGGAGGGAATTTTCCACTCGTCCGTGCAGCTGGCGGACACGTCGGAGGCCGGGCCCGGTGGCATCCCTGACCTGGCGCTGGCCGCTGAGGCCGCGCAACTCCAGGCGGCCGGGAGTGACCGAGGCAAGACCTGCAGGCGGCTGCTCTTCCTGAAGGTACGCCCGGGACGGGGGGCTGCGGGAGCCCGCGGTTCGCTGCTGGCGCTGCGATTTCACGTCCGAACCCATTTACCAACCTCAGGAAGCCACAGAGCTGCCGTTGTGAGCGAGAGCAAGGAAGACGCGGAAGCAGGGCCGCTGGGACCCTGACAGTGAGCGTGGTAGCGAAGCAGGCTCAGTTGACGCTTGCGCTTGAGAGACTCAGGGAGGCAGTGTCAGTGTAAGGTGAACCGAACCTAGATCCCCGATGGAAAATGCCAGAAGCGGTAGTCAACACGCGGGGAAGTTCTCGACTCTAGACAGGCTCTGTTGGGCAGCCCGCAGGCAGGCCACGTCACACCGTCCTGCAGACTTGGGGGCCGGGATGGGAGGAGGCCGCCCGGCCAGCAGGGCGAGGGGCACGGGGTGGGCGAATTAACGACTCGGTGTGTGATATAATGTGAAATAGTGAAGGGCTGTGAGAAATATAAAGCAGGACTAGGGAACAGAGGCGGAGGGGGGTTACCGCCTTTCTTGCCAAGGTGATCATGAAGTCTTCTCTAAAGACGTGACGTTTGACCAGGGACCAGAATGGAGCGGAGGAATGAGTCATGTGACCATCGGGGAAAGGCGTTCCCGGCAGAGGGAACAGCATGTGCAAAGACATGGAAAAAAGAGCGTGCTTGAGGGGCAGCAAGGAGACCAGCGCACCAGGGAAGCGAGGAAGGGGAGGACGGCGGGAGACAAAGTCGAGGCGGTAGCCAGGGGCCAGAGCAAGGACCAGGGCAAGGTCTTGGAATTTTATTCTAAGGATGGGAAGCCTTGGAGGACTGTGACAGGGCAGTGACGCGATCCGACCTTCGTTGTGAGTGGAGGGCGACTGTGGGGGACCAGTGGGGGGGGGGTACGGCAGTAACCTGGCCGGACGAGACGCAGCTTGGACCGCGGCGGCAGCGGCAGAGGGCTGAGGGTGGCCGGGGCAGGGCGTCGTTTTCTAGGCAGAGCCAGCAGGGTTTGCTGATGAGAGGACGCAGAGCGCGAGAGGATGAGAGGGGCCGACTTCGGCTGCAAGGCTTGGGGGAAAGGAAGGAACCACCTGCGTCCTGATATAGGAAACAGGAGGGGGCGAAACAATGACCAGGAAAAAGGTGAGTCGTCCCCTTAGCGGCACAAGACTGTACTAAGCAGGGGTGGGGGGGAGAGAGTTCCGGGCGAAGGGAGGTGCGGGAGCAGAGGTGGAGGGGAGGAAGCCTGGGTGCTTACGTGGGGCAGCGGAGCTCGTCCGCGCCCGAGTGCCTGGGGGGGCCGGATGACGGGGCAGGGTGGGCGCGG